GAGCCACATGTGAAAAAGCCAAGACGCGCGCGCCGCAGAAGGGCAGCCCGGCCGCAGCGCTCACTCTGCGGGGAAGCCGCGCAGCCGCAGGCGCCACACGCAGCCGCCGGCGCTGATGGCGACGCCGGCCTGGGCGGCGACCAGGAACCCGGCGAAGAAGCGGTGGTTGCCGCCGCCGATGCAGTTGCCCACGACGCCGCAGCTGCGGCAGGGCGGGGGAGGGGGGGAGGGGGAACGCAGGATTGGGCCAGTTGGCGCCGGGGGGGTTGGGCGATTACCGCGGGAATCGCCCTCAAGCACCCCGGGAGCCAACAAGAGAGGGGAGCGCATGGGAGCGGCGCCGCGCCCGGCGCATGAAACCGCCTGGCCCCTCAAACGAGGCCGTAAATACGGAGGCTGCCTCGCCGCTGTCGCCCCCTGCCCTCCGCGCGCAACATCCGCGCCTGGCCGCACGCGTGCAGCGCGTGCAGGGCGCTCACTGGTGGTCAAACCGCTGGATGCAGGCGCCGCAGTCATCGCAGTGGTGGGCGCGCGGCGGCCGCCATATGTGGCACGTGTCGCAGTCTGCGGGCGGCGCGCGCGGGCGCGGGGGCCGGCAGCTGCTGACGGCTCGACAGCAGCCGTCTGCCTGAGCCCGGCCGATTTGCTGCCGCGCCAGTAGCGCTTGCGCACACGTGGGTCAGACAAGACTGCCATGTGCAAGCAGTCGCGCCTGTCCGCATGCCAAATGCCGGCGCACGCTGCGGGGGAAGCAGCAGCCCCGCCCTCAAGCGGCGGCCGCGGCCGTCGGCCGGCACCACGCACACTTTGAGACCAGCGGTCCGTTCCAGCCCTCCAGCTCCTCGCTCCTCAGCCACACGCCGCGCGCGTCCCGCCGGTAGTTGCTGGCCCCGCCGCCGTCCGGCACGGGCAGGCCAGCCTCCAGCCGCGCGACCGTTGGGTCTGCAGGTGAAAGATGGGGGGTGAGGGGCGCCGAGGGCGCGTGGGGCCGGGGCGGCAGAGCGGGTGCCGCAAAGGGGCGCGGGCGGCAGGCCCGCGTCGGGGCCGCAGAGGGAGGCAGCCGCCAGCAAAGAAATTCACAGCACAAGCCAGGCTCTGCCACAGCGCCGATGCGGCCCCGGCCGCTGCCCGTGCTTGCGCCTGCGCCTGCGCCCACAAACGGCCCGCGGCAGGCCTCACCCTTCTCTGCGCGCGGCTGCAGCGCCCCCGGGTCTGATAGGTGAGTCAGCCAGAGCAGCAGGATGGAGCCGGCCCCGCAGAGCGCCATGAGCACTGACAGGTACCAGGGCAGGCCCCGCAGGCTGGGGCCGGCAGGGTTTGGGAATTCATGTCAGCGTGTGGTGGGCAAGAGGGTCGATTTGCGAGTGGGGTTTCGGCTGCGCAGCGGCTTTTGGTGGGTGGAGCTTTAGTACAAGGAGAAGCTGCCCGAGGATTGGGTGATGTGCATCAGTGCGGGGGAGGGCCTGCGCTGCCCCAAGCGGCCTCAGCGGTGCGGCGCCACAGGCGGTGGGCGGCACCGCGTGGTGGTCTCACCCTATTGCAATGGCCAGCAGTGAGTTGAGGGCGATGTAGACGGTCAGCACTGCAGCGGGGGCGGCGAGGGACGGCGGGCGAGTTCCAGTGCGTGTTTGCGTGGTGCCATCATGAGCGCATGCGGCCATAGCCGCAAATAAGCAAGACATGCACGGACATGCAGTTGACACATACACACCCACGCATGCATTCACGCTCGCATTCACACAGACAGCGTTACAGCCACGCACCGTCAGGGCCCGCTCTGGTGGACGACTGCCACTGCCTGAGCGGCTGCCACATCCCGACGCCACGTGCGTCCGCGCCAGAGGGGCACTCTCCTCCCGTTGCGACTCTGGGAGACGTGTTTCAGACAACGGGCCGCCCGGCAGGCCCGATCCTCCCCCGCCTAGCAGGTCAAGCGCCGCTTGGCAGTGCAGCGTGTGCTGCTGATGAAGCAAAACACGCTACTCCGTGCCGGTGCCCTGATATGGTCGCCAAGCCACTGCCAAAGGTTCCCACTAGCTGATTGCACGTCCAACGCGATCACCGACCAGCTCTGACGCAGACCTGTCTGTGTAAAGTGACGAACTGTTCGATCTTGTGCAAATTTTGACGCGATGAAACGAGGCCTGCTGATATACTGCATTGTGGATGCCAGTATTGTTATCTCTGTTTGATCCCCGATCGCCCTGCACACTGCAGTGGCACTACGTGAGCGGCAGCGTCAGAATTACTCGCTTAGGCCTCCAATGCACTCCTCAGGACGTTCATTGTGTTGTTCATGGCCGTATATGGGCGCTACCATGCCGCCCGTGCTTGCCGGCAGCGGCCGCGCGTTGCGAGCTCCGCCCTGCACGTGCCGCGCCGCAGCAACCGGCGCCAGCAGCGATTCCAGCAGCACGGGCAGCCACCTTGAGCGAAAGCTAGAGGCATTTGAAACGTCACTCGGCGGCCTGTCGCGGCCGGCGCTGATGCAGCTGCTCAGCCGCGCGCCGCCGCAGGTGTGCAGCTTCAGCGGCGAATCATTTGAACTCACCCTGGCATCCTTAGAGGCAGCGCTGGGCATGGACCGCGCCTTTGTCATCCAGCTCGTGCGTGCCGCCCCCCACGTGCTTGTCGCGCCGCATGAGCCAGTCGCCGTGCTGCGCCTGCTGACGGCGGTCCTCCGCCTACCGCGCGGCATGGTGGCTGCAAACCTGCGCACGCGGCTGCACGTGCTCGCGCTCAGCGAGGCGCAGCTGCGCGAGCGGTGCGCGACGCTGGGCGCGATTTTGGAATGCGAGGTCCTCCCTGGCAGCAGCAGCGGAGAGGGCTTCAGCAGCAGCAGCAGCAGCAGCAGCAGCAGCAGCAGCAGCAGCAGCAGTGCCGAGGCCGGCTTTGCTGCATTTGCCGCACGCTACCCCGGTCAGGCGCTCGCGCTCGTTTCCTTCCCAGAGGACTCTGTCGCGAAGCGGCTGCAGGCCAGCGCCGCCGCGCTGGACGGGGCGCCGGCCAGCGCGGTCGCGGCGCTCGCGCGGGCGCGGCCCCTTGTGCTTGAGCTGTCGCCGCTTGTGCTGCGCTCGCGCGCCATGGTGCTGGCGGAGGCCGCGTTCTGCGACTCGCTGCGCCCCGAGGATGCGAGTAGCCACAGCAGCAACGGCGCCGGCGGCGGCAGCAGCGGCGGCAGCAGTGTCAGCGGCGTCAGCGAGGAGGAGGTGCTCCACGGCGCAGCCCAGCGGCGGCCGCACGCGCTGCGGGAGCTGCTTGCTGCTTTAGACGGCGACGAGTTGGAGGGCCTCGCGGACCGCTTGATGCTGGCGCCCCACAGCCTGCACCTGTGGCTGCAGCAGCTGCGCGGCCTGCTGCCCGCGCTGCCGCCGCTGGGCGTGGTGCGGCTGCTGCTGCGGCTGAGGGTGCGGCCGCCGGACGTGCTGGTGCGGTGGCAGGCGCTGCAGCTGGTGGCGCGCGGCGGCGGCGAGTGGGAGGCGGAGCTGAGGGAGGCGGGGCCTGCTGAGCTGGCCACACTGCTGAGCGCCAGCCACGAGGCCATGGCGCGGATGCGCTACTTGTCGTCTACCGGCCGCCGCGGCGAGGCACGGCTGGAAGAGGCGGTCGCCATGGGTGGCGACGCGTTCCTGGCGCGATTCCCTGGGTTTCAGGAGTGGCTGCGCTGCGGCGGGTGAAACCTTTGGGCCTCCGCTGGTGTGCACTGATCAGCACTCTCATTGCTCAGGTCTGTTTGCACTGATAGATTCGAGTGATTCCATGGGCATGTGGCCAGGCTTTCACCGATGCAAAGCAGGCTGACGCATGTCTCAGCTCTCCACTGCCCTTGCTGCCAGCCGTGGCTCAACCAGCCAGATGCACCACAGCGCACAGAGTCTTGAATGTTCCAAGGGTTACAGCAGTAGCAATGGGGTCATTCTGTCAGCATGGGTCGGCAGGGGCGTTGAAGCCGGAGGCACAGACCAGGAGTTCACTTCAGCGGCGCGCACAACGGCTCCGCAAGCAGTGCCAGTGCGCGCCGCCTCGCACTTCCCCAGGCGGCCAGCCGGCCACACAGCACCACACATGCATGCACTGGCTCCCGTGGCGGTGACGTGATGTTTGGCGAGAGGTCATGGTGGCACACATGTGATACCAGGGGTGTTCTGGTGCGCGTCAATGGCATTAGGGATGGCCGCGCGCCGCCCTGCGGTACACCAACAGCAGCAGGGCATATACCCACACACACGAGCGCGCGTGAACAAAGGGACGATGCGAATAGAGGCTCGCAGGGGAGTTAACCCCTCGGCGCCGCTGCAGGCCCGGCAGCGACAAGCAAGACAGCTGCAATCGGACCGGGCAGCCGCTGCGGCAGCCGTGCGAGGGGCCCCCAAACCCGAAAGGCGCGCCGCTGCGCCCAGCACAGGCGCGCGGCGCTGCCGCGAGCCGCTTAGGCGGCCTCCTCCTCCTCGTCGAACTCGCCCTCCTCCTCGGCGCTGGCGTCCTGGTACTGCTGGTACTCTGACACCAGGTCGTTCATGTTGGACTCGGCCTCGGTGAACTCCATCTCGTCCATGCCCTCGCCGGTGTACCAGTGGAGGAAAGCCTTGCGGCGGAACATGGCGGTGAACTGCTCGCTCACACGCTTGAACATCTCCTGGACGGCGGTGGAGTTGCCGATGAAGGTGGCGCTCATCTTCAGGCCCTTGGGCGGGATGTCGCACACGCTGGACTTGACGTTGTTGGGGATCCACTCAACAAAGTAGGAGCTGTTCTTGTTCTGGACATTGAGCATCTGCTCGTCGACCTCCTTGGTGGACATGCGCCCGCGGAACATGGCGCTGGCGGTGAGGTAGCGGCCGTGGCGGGGGTCGGCGGCGCACATCATGTTCTTGGCGTCCCACATCTGCTGGGTCAGCTCGGGCACGGTCAGCGCGCGGTACTGCTGGGAGCCGCGGCTGGTGAGGGGCGAGAAGCCGACCATGAAGAAGTGCAGGCGGGGGAAGGGGATCAGGTTGACTGCCAGCTTGCGCAGGTCGGCGTTGAGCTGGCCGGGGAAGCGCAGGCAGCAGGTGACGCCCGACATGACGGCGCTGATGAGGTGGTTGAGGTCGCCGAAGGTGGGGGTGGTCAGCTTGAGGGTGCGGAAGCAGATGTCGTACAGCGCCTCGTTGTCCAGGATCATGCACTCGTCGGCGTTCTCGACCAGCTGGTGCACCGACAGGGTGGCGTTGTAGGGCTCGACGACGGTGTCAGACACCTTGGGCGAGGGCACCACCGAGAAGGTGAGCATCATGCGGTCGGGGTACTCCTCGCGGATCTTGGAGATCAGCAGGGTGCCCATGCCGGAGCCGGTGCCGCCGCCCAGGGAGTGGCAGACCTGGAAGCCTGTGAATAATTTGCAGTGGTGAGCGGCGGATGCGGCGTGAGAACATTGTGGCTGCGTATTGCTGGTGTACTGTGCTACATCGTCAGCACACGATGTGCGCGATCAGGTGTGGTCGGGCCAGCTGTTTGCGCGCGCGCGCTTCTGCATTAGCAGGTTCATTGCCAGCAACTCATGCAACAACCTAGCCACTCAATTTTTTGATGGCACATAGGTGCAAGTGACAGCTGCTGCGCCGACGCCACAAGCTGCCTAGCTCAGCCAAAGTGCTGCCCGCGGCCTGCGACATGCTGCCTGCGCAAAGCCCTGCCCGCTGACTGGGCCACGTGCAGGGCCGCGATGCATGCAGCAGTGCATGGGCAGCGCCCTTTTGCCTGCGCTGCTGCTTAGAGAGGCGCAGTGCCCTGCTCGCCCCAATCCACGCTCCTCCCCCCCCCTCCCCAAACAACAGCAGCGGCCAGCCGCAGCGCCGCTCACCCTGCAGGCAATCGCAGGACTCGGCCTCCTTGCGCACGACATCCAGGACGGAGTCGATAAGCTCAGCGCCCTCAGTGTAGTGGCCCTTGGCCCAGTTGTTGCCGGCGCCGGTCTGCCCAAACACAAAGTTGTCGGGGCGGAACACCTGGCCGTAGGGGCCAGAGCGCACGCTGTCCATGGTTCCGGGCTCCAGGTCCATGAGGATGGCGCGGGGCACGTAGCGGCCTGGGGGTTGGGGCAAAAAGTGGGCGTTCGATTCAAATGATCCGGAGACAGCTCTGGTGCACCTCAGGCCCGGCGTCCCTGGTCGCCCAGAGCGCCACTGCGCTGTTGGATCGGATACTGTACACCCATATGAGTACTCGTAAAAGCTTGGGAACCCGGCGTTGGGCCATGCACAGGGACCCCGGGTGGGTGGGCCTCCCACTGGCTCATGCCGGCCTCCTCCGCGGCCCCTGACACCCCCTGACGACCGCTTATGGCTATCCAAGAACGATGAAGCGCAGCAAGGCCCGCCCCACGCACCGCCGGTGGCCTCGTTGAAGTAAACGTTGATGCGCTCCAGCTGCAGGTCGCTGTCGCCATGGTAGGTGCCCGTGGGGTCCACGCCATGCTCGTCGCACACCACCTGCGCAAAGGGTAAGCAGGAGTGAGGGCCAGGGCACGGAGAGCCGGGGCCGAAAGCCCGCCAGTGCGGGTCAAGCACAGTGCCCTGGCTGAGCCTGCCTCGCCCCTTGCCCCCTGCCTGCTTGCGTATGCTCACCTCCCAGAACTTGGCACCAATCTGGTTGCCGCACTGGCCGCCCTGGATGTGCACGATCTCGCGCATGGCTGCTTTTGAACGGAGACGGAGGACTTGGGTGTGAAGAGCTGACTGAAAAGCGTTGTTGCGGTCTCAATGAACAAACTTGTGGGGCTGCTGAACGATCAGGTGGGGGATAAAGCAGAAGAAACGGGTGCTGCTTCTGCTTTCAGCGCACTGGGCGGTCGACACGGCTTTCGGGGGCACTCAAGGAATGCATACTTTGATTTTTCTTGACCTCACCCCAATTTTTGCATATGTACAGGATGCTCGACGACCGGCTTGACCCTGTGGCTAGTGCCGAGCGGGAAACGGCTCGTGGGGCCCCCGAGCTGGACTTAATACTGGATCTGGCCATTGAGATGGTATGAAATGTGTTGGCATTGAAGCAGGCCGACAACCGCGCGGCGCGGCGTTCAAGCGAGCTGCGGCAGATCTGCGCCGACTGTGTGCTGCGTCAGCGTACAGTAGCAGCCACCACTGGCCAGGGCAAACCTGACCTGCGATGGGCGTGTGCGGCTTGAAAGAAGACCACCGGGCAAGGAGGATGAAGGGGTGGGTGGGCAGGCGGCATGCACTGCTGGGCACGGCGCGACATTGCTGTTCGGCCGCCCCTAGACAATGCTGCTGCACAGCGACACCAACCTGGTCACTCGCACGACAGACGGGCAGATTACTGAGTTGCTTGACATGCCGCAGCTCGCCCGCTTGGCGCATGGCAAGAAAGGCACATCTTTGCAAGCACTACTCAAATTAGTCGCCGTTGCGAGCCAAGAGATTGGAAGGCCAAAAAAAGCTGACGCGTCTTGTGCAGGGGGTTGAGATAAAGCATTATGCTGTGTACACCAAGGCGCCGCGCTGCTTTGCAGCAGCTGCGCCGCCTCGTCAGTTGGAAAGCAACGGGCCCCGCGCTACCGCGGCGGCTGCTCACCGCCGTCGCCGCTTGCTGCCGCCGCCGCCGCTGCCGCCGCCGCTGCCGTTGCCGTCGCGCCGCCTGCGGGCCCGCCGCCGCCGCCACCGCCGGCCGCTGCCTTGCGCCACAGCTTGATCTTGCGGTCCGCCTCGGTGGCGCGCGCCTCCAGCCCCTCCTCCTCCTTCATCGCTGCCACCACCAGCGCATCCACCTCGCCTATCCACCCCAGCAGCCGCTGCAGCCCCTCCGCGCCCTCCCCGCCGCCCGGTACCACCAGCCGCCCCGGCGGCGCGCGCGCGCCGCCCGGGATCGTCTCCCGGTCCTCGCCCTGCCGCCGCTCGCGCTCGAGGTCGTCGGCGCGCGCCGCGGCCGCGCGGCGCGCGACGTGCTCCAGCAGCTGCGCGCAGGGCAGGCCGGCCGAGCGCGCGCCGGAGCGCAGCGCGGCGAGCGCGAGGACGCCCGGAGGGAACAGCAGCGGCGCGTCGCTGTGCAGGATCGCCGCCACGGCCTTGTGCGCGCTGCGCGCCAGCCGCTGCATGGACTCCGGCGGCGCGTCCGCCAGCGGCGGGTCCAGCGCGGGCGAGCGCTGCGACCGCAGGTCCTCGAGCTCCTTGGCACGTGGGTTTGATGGGGGATGGGGTGATCAGCCAGTTTTGAGGGGTGGGGCGGACCAACGGCATTGCAAGGTGTGGCTGGGTGTCATGGGGGTGCTGCTGCTGCTACGGGAGGAATGCAGGCGCTCGTGCCCTCGACAACAAGGCGGCCGCCGTGAGCAAGGCTGTGGGCATGCAGCGGCAAGGCGCGGCGAAGCAGACCGCTGGCCGTCTCCTGCCGCATGCAGCGCGCCGACCTGCACCAAGCCATTGAGAGCGCGGTAGGGTGAGTGGACCACCAGGTCAAAGCCCAGCCCCTGCAGCAGCGGCACCTGAGGGCGCAGGGCGAACGTGCGCGACAGCAAAGTTCAAGCGTCACAGTTTATGGCATACGCACACTGTGAATCAGGACTCGCACGAAAATGGCGGGCTCCGTGCCAGAGCATTGCATTCCCGGTGACAGCAGCCCCCATCCAGCAGTCAGCAGCAACGACAGACCTTGTGGATGGAGCCCCCACAGCCGCGTCCCCGCCAAGAAAGACCACTTACCTCTGTCCGCAGCACCGTCTGTGCGTCCAGCCCCAGCTTTTTGCAAAAGTCCTCTGCACCAATGTAAGCCTCCTCCACCTGGGGCCATACGCAGTGTTGGAGGGCGTGGTTGGCGTGTTGTGACGTGCATGCTTTTCTGTATTGCGTGCGTGTGTGCGTGCAGACGTGTGTGTGTGTGTGTGTGTGTGTGTGTGTGTGTCAGCACTCAAATGCATGTGTGCGCGCTTGCAAAAGCCAATGCTTCTTATGGTTGTCAATCTCATGCATTCAGACATGCCACTTCGGCCCTTCTCGCCAGTCCGCGGCGGCTCGCCTTGGCCGCCAGGTAGATGCATGTGGGCATGATGCGCGAGGGGTCGTGCTCCAGGCAGCTGCGCTGGATGTAAAATCGCTTGAAGTATGCCGCTGCGGTTGCCTGGACAAAGGCGAGCGGCCAGGCGGGTGTCAGGGGGCACAGCAGCAGGGTGAGCAGAGGGTTTACTTGGTTGTCAAACAGGCGCACTTCCGCGTGCTTGCCACTGCTTCGCAAATCCTTGCCTCCACTTCATCAACACGTAAGCAATGGCCGGGCATTTGGCACAAGATACATGGCGAAGATCCAAAACCTTTGCTATGAAATGTCCCCGGCGGCTGGATTCCCACATGAGCATGCCTTGTCATGCTCATAGCCCGCGTGCTCGGCCAACGGGGCGATCGCTTGACCCCCTGCTGCACGCACCTGCACCTTCGGCGCCAACGGGATGGCCTCGCACACCTGGCGTATCTTCAGCTCAAAATACCGCCGCAGCAAAGCCTCTTCGGCTGCGCTCACTGGTGCCTCGGCTGCGTTTCAGGCGGCCCAGCAACGTTGGGGGGCGCGGGGCGACGTTGTGAGGACCGCCACTGCTCGCTTGCAACTGAAAGCTGCTGCGCCGCGGTGTGGTGGTGATGATGGCAATGCAGGTGCTCTATGTTACATGCATACATACATACCAGGCTGCGGCGTCCTCTCATGCGGCTGCGTCGCAAAGCGGCGGCAGAGGGCGCGCCACTCCCAGGCCCCGCACCGCGTTGCTTTTTGGCATCTGGAAGGCCTGCGCCGTCCTCCGTCGCCGGTGTCGGCTCCCTTGACCGCTTTAAGCTTTCCGCCGCCTTTTGCTGTGCGTCTTCACGCTTTGCTGCCTGCACATGACACGCGCAGTGCAGAAGTGCGCGTGCGATGGGGTCGGCGTTCACGGACGGGGGCCAGGCACTACCGGCTGCATGCCAGCAGCAGTCAGCTTACCAGGGCGTCTTGATCAAATATCCACCTCGCTTTATGCGTGCTGGTATCGAAGTCCATCCTTCCAAATGAATTCCGATCTTGGCGACCACAGATCTGTTGGCTTATTAGCGCGTGGTGTGCAGTGTAATTATGTGAAGCTGCGCTGCGAAGTCAAGGTATGGCTGCTACGCCGAACTCCAGGAGCAAAACTTGTCCGCAGCATGCTGTGTACCATCAGTCACGTGCTGCAAATGCGACAGCGAGCGCCATACCCGGAGTACAGGTACACGCACATGCAGGCTGCTCATAAGAAACAGATTAGATTCAAACCACCGAGTGGAGTGGCGCTGCTAGTCAGATCCACGGCGCGTGCGGGTGCGGGCGTTATTCTTCCGGGGTCGGTGCCCAGTCAAAAGCAACCTTCTTGAGGCTCCTGGCACAAGCAGGGCGCGAGCTGCAGTTTCCCGTGCAGCACAGTAATTGTTTGATGCACAAGGAGATTATCACAGCAATGCCATGGACAAACGGTGGTCAGAGCGGCGGCACGATCAAAGGGCTCGCCAACGCTGCCCTGGGTGGGGCTGCACACCTGCATTTTGGCCTGGCCCTGCTGTGCTGCCAGTTGTGAGGCACATGTGCCTCAGCACCTGGCCAAGCCCGCGTTGTCTGACCTTGGCACTTTGCAAATGCAACCTTAGCGCAGCCAATGCACCCGGGTGTTTCGACTGGGTTGGGGCCAGATGAGCATGTGGTGAAAACCAGGGCTGTTCATGCAGTCCTGCCCTTGCCAGTCACACACGAGCATGGATGCCGTCGCTTCACCCGACCGCAACCTGCGCCCAGGGCCGCGAACAGCCGCCCTGACGCGGCCCCCCAGCGACAGGGGGGTGATGGGGCGCCGCAGAGACACACCAAGAACGCGCATATGTGACCACGCTGCTCTGCCCTAGCCTGTCCGCACGTCCCCCACACGGAGTGATGTTATTTACAGTCCTAGACGTAGGCCGTGAGTAGCAATGGGGCATCCTCACCCGCAAGCTGCACACATGCAGCACCCCATTCTTGCGCCCCCCCTTGTAGTCGCCCTCTCCCTCCACACCTCAGCCGTCGCCGCCCTGCTGCCCGCTTCCTTGTGCATGCCCCACTTTCAGCGCCGCCCCATCCCGCCCAGCCGGCTGCGGCCCCTGTTGCCCGACCGGTTGGGCGTCGTCAGCCCGCTGTCCCCGGGCACGCCGGCCCCGCCGCCCCAGGGGATCGCCCCCTGCGAGATGGGCGCTGTGGTGATGGACGTCTTGCGGCCCCGCCGCTGCGCGTCGCCGCGGCGGCTGTTCTGGCTGCTGTCGAACACGTGCTGCTCCCTCGCGCCGGCAGAGGCGCCGCCGGCGGCGGCCCCACAGCTCTCAGGGTCAAAGACGGCCCCGCCGTCCCCGCCGCCGCTGCCGGCGGCTGCGGCAGCCGCCCC